CTATGATAAATATTAAGTCACCCTTTACCTACCTTGTTAAGTCCAAGTTAGTGTGCCGGTTAACCACACACGCTCCACTAACGACTTAGACAAAGTGTAAAGTGTAATTTCATGGATTAGCACCTTATTCACATTTTCCTAAGTAACTAAGATTGGGTATTATTAAGAGTTTAGTTACTTAGTATTTATCATTAATACTTTTAATGAAGGGAGAATTATAGTCCTGTCAAACCCGTTCGGCTAACGACCCTCCACCAGTCAAGCAAGCGGTGGGTGAGAGTGGACACCCATTAAGTTGCCATTTTATAGGCAACAACCTTATACCCACCTTATAGACCGGCTTCGTGAATGAGGCGTACTAGCGGTAAGACTGACTTTACTCTTTACATACATATATATATATATATATATATATATATATATATATATATATATATTATTAACTTATAATATTATAAAGTATAAGGGTTGAATTTTAACTTTTAAAATTCTAAGGGCTAACTTGGAATTAAAGTATTCATAAGAGAAAACTTTACAAATTCCAAAACTTGAGGGCAAGTTTTGAAACTATTCAAAACTAATTAATTCCATAACTTATGTTTTAAAGTAGTTTTAATCCAAAAACTCTTCAAGTTCCATAACTTGAGGACAAGTTATGGAAGACTTTAAACTAATAAAAGAATTAACTTTTCTTTATTTTATAACTTATGGAATTAATTAAGGTTACATTATTTATTTATTTATTTTTTATTATTTAATGAAGAGACTCTTGGTCCTCCATAACTTGAGGACAAATTATGGAGTCATAACTCCAATTAATTAGAACTAGACTCTTCATTTTTGTAACCTTTGCCAACTTTTATGAGTTTTATGAAACTTAAATGTGACTTTTCATATAACTTGAGGACAAGTTACAAAAACACATTTTAGAATCAACTCTTAGATTAATTTGGATTGAAAACAACTATTTCATTCAACTTTTCTATTAATCTAAGCAACTCATAAGAACAAGATAATTCAAATCAAACTTTTTCATGTAATTAGTCTAACCTTTAAACTAATACAAAACATGAATCTATTGACAATTATCTTTGAAATTGGATTAGCATGAACATTACCACATCAAAAAACAAGTTTATAAGTTCAAAAACAACTTAGGGTAATGTTCCTAGTCCATTTCTAGCCAAAAACCTCGAAAATATGCTGTCTGGGGGTCCAACTCGTCAAGTGCACTAACCAACTCGGTGAGTTGGATGCTTTTTGCCTTGGACTCGTCGAGTCCCTTCATGGACTCGGCGAGTCTGCTGGGTAGACAGCAACAAAACTCGATTTTTCAGCTCCTATTGCAAGTATAACAAGAAAACAAGCCTAGGCTCTGATACCACTGTTGGGTTATGAGCATTCTAACACTCCTAAGTGTACATGCAACCCTAAATACCTTGGATCTATGTTTTCTCTATTATACATGCAAATATGAACATCCAAGGTATTATCCTAATCTAGCATACAAAACTATCAATATAACAAGATAGAATACATACCTCTTTGATGTAGAATGTCTTCATGAAGCTTGAGTGCCGTCTTCCCCAAGTGTGACACCTCAAATGGTTCACACAATATCAAATACACTTGGAATAACTTAAGAGAATTCTACACTTCATGAAAATCGGCTAGCCCTTTCTTACTCTCACTAGTGGCCGATTTTGATCAAGAATAAGATGTTTATATAGTGTTACAATTAGGGTAAACCCTAATTGTCATGACTTTCCATTTCCTTGGATCCATGGATTCAAATACACCATGGAGCATCCATGGACCATCCTATGGGTTTTAGCCCAACTTGATTATCCATGAAGCATTAGCCCACTATACAAGTATGGATGATTTACACAATCAACCCATATATTTAATTAGTCTTCTTTTGATCACTTAATTAATCCTAGATTAATTCTTGATCAAAACTAATTAAATAATATCATTATTCTTATTATTAATATACTAGAACTTATAATATATTAATAACCATAAGTGTCTTATTTCTCTCATTTTAGTCTATCCAAGTGCATGATGTCATGCAACCCAAATGGACCATCCCCAGGTCGGGTCAAGTCTTACTAATTATAGTTATGGACTTAGACATTAATCCAACAAAAACATCTTAAAAACCAAATATAAGATGCTATAAAAACCAATAAAAAATGCTTTTTTTTTTCGCTGAAAATACAGGATGCTATTTTTGCCGTCAAAAGTAGCATGTTATTTTTACCCTAAAAACTAAAGTTGAATATTATTTTTGTCTAGAAAATAAAAGTAGCATGCTATTTTTTGGCTTAAAATGAAAATCATGCTATTTTTATCTAATAAATGTAAAGTATAATGCTATTTTTTGTATAAAAATGAAATTAGTGTGCTATTTTTACATTGAATTTTGAAATTGCATTCTACTTTTATGTTAAAATTAAAGTAGCATGCTATTTTTTCTTTCAAATTGAAAGTAGCATGTTGTTTTTGTCTTAAAAAAAGGAAGTGATATGATATTTTTTTTCTTGAAAATGAAAGTATTTGATATAACAACACATACTTTTGACACCCCTACCGATTATTGGCTTCTTTTATGCTTACTTGTAATTACAAATTCTAATGTTTTTATCAAGCATCAATTCTCAAGATCTATCGTAATGCAAAAAACTAATACATCCGAAATGAGGTACTACATTGGTTTTATGAAAACTAGTAGTCTATAAGTAGTTCTGATATTTGTAGTTTCCAATCTTAATGTCATTAATGAGTGGTAACTGACATGATAAAAACATACTTTAACAATATCAACGTTAAGTGTAAGAAATCTCAACTATGTATCTTAAGAACAACAATAGAATTACAAAAAATAAAATTGAAAGTTGAAATTGGATGCTGAAAATATAATACACAAACGAATAAAACCTAAGTATGTTTGGAGTTAATATTTGTGGTTGTGTTTTATAATACCGTCTTCAATCCATTACACCACTTCTTGAACCAAAATTATATATTATTTATTACAAAAATCATGTTTATTTTATCAAATGAACAAAAACACATTAAGTAAAAATTACACATGTTTATATAAAATATGTTAATTGTGTGTGTTTTTATTTACGTTAATTTTGTGTTTTATCCAAAAGTATAGTGTTTTAAATTAATAAAAAGCTTTAAATTATTGAATAAGTATGAAAAACAAAATTTTACCTTAATATATACCATAAATTAATATCAATTTTATAATATAACTACATATAGAATATCATGACATAAATAATAGCTTAAAATATAACTTCAATAAAGATGCACTAAATCAAGATTCATTTTCTCCCAAGAGTGATGGTGCTCTATCTGCAAATGTATTCTATATTTCCAGGATGCACCATTTCCAAATCAATCACCATCTTTGTTTGTTTAGTCCCAATTCATGTAACAAAAACTTTAAAATTCTATTTCATTCACTCATGTTTTTGTTAAATTGCATGTTATACTTTTGTTTATAACGACTTCGTTTACAGAGAATGCTATGGCTGAGCTTGGAAGGCTTCTTATATATGAAGCATCAAGGGATTGGCTGTTTTTTTTTTTTTTTTTTTTTTTTAGGTTTTTGTAAGTAATAACAATATGCTCTAATCGATTTATTTACTAAAGCATTTTTCTTTTACTTCTTCCTATTACAACAGTTTTGCACTATAAAAATATACTCAATTGTAGCGAAAATACAATGCCTTAATAAGAATTTATTTGATAATACAGTGTTGTAATAGACATAAACGAAAGTAGGATGTTATAATAAACAAATATATCAAAGTCCATTGCAATTTCTTGCTTTAATCATTAATCTAGTATGTTTATTTTTTTGCAGCCTACAATTTCAGGGGAGATTCAGTCCCCACTTGGGCCTGCTACAGTTGAATTTATTGATCCAAGAGAACCTGTAGCAGTTAGTATATCAATTCCTTACATTATGCTTTATTATAAACACTTTCTATTATGTGTGTAAATTTATACAAATACCCTTGTGTTTGCAGGTTGTTCCGAATCTGAGAGTTGGGCTTGCTCTTGCCAGCAACCAAGACATACCACCTAGGTAACTAATTAACTAACTATCAAATGAGATTTAGTATTATAGAAAATCAATGATTAAATGATTTCCTCCTTCCAAAATGAAAAGCAATAACCAATTTATTAATATCAAGATTTCTTAAATTTATCTTAAATATTTAGGTATCTGTTGTGACTTGCCCTCCAGCCCTCCAAAAGCTGAGTGAGAATTATCCAGGTACTAAAACCCATGACACGTGATAAAGGTTATATATGTCTTTTGTGATTTTACTTCTATTATAATTCCTCAGGCTTCATGTATATCCTAATTTTCTAGGAACTGATACAGTAAATTCAATAATTTTTTAGTCGCAAGTTTTGAGGTCTTCATCCAAGTATGTGAAGCCACCCAAAAAAATCCATTATACACGATATATATATATATATATATATATTATATATATATATGTTTAAAGAAATAACAAAACATGGATAAGATTCAAGTCGATATTTAATATTTTTCATTACTTTTTAAATTTAGTTTAGGCCAACCTGATTTACACGCACACCTTTGTTGAGGTCATGAAAGTTGCGTTCAAGGATCCATTTGTAATACCTGACAAATAAACCAATCAGTTAAGTGGCAAGATAACCACTTGAGAATCCAGTAGGGGTAGAATTGGAATAGGATTAATATTACTATTTTTGTAGAGGGGACATTTCAACACAGACAACATTGTTATTTCCTACATTTACCCCTAACAGTAAACTAACATAAGTAGATAATCAAACTAACAACAGAAGATTCAAGCGGAAACAAATTCCATCCATTTGGAAACACTGGAATGGAATCGTCAATTCCAATTTTGAACAAACACAAAATTAAGCTTTACATACCTCTCGCCTACCACGAGTCCCAACATATACAATCATGTTCATATCAGGAAGGCACTTTCTGAACTCTTAGCCAAATTTGCCAAATTTGATAAAGGAACAACAACAAGAATTGGTCCATGAATTTGTTGTGAGTTCTGTGCAGACCTCATAAAAAAAGTTAATCACTTTGTATATAGCAAATTGGCAGAATGATGTGAGAAATTAAAATATATATGAATACCTGAAGGAAACCAATCATAGAAACAGACTGAACTATTTTATTAAGACCCATTTCATCAACTAATATGACATTTATATAATTTCTCCAACAGCAAAGTGAATATTATGAATAAGTGTAGCTTTAAATAAACCAAATAAAATAGTGGTATCTGTATGAAATATCTACTATTTTGACTTTCAAAAGTCAAATTTACCATGTCACAAATTGAGAATATGTCTCAAGTATAAAAGGGTAACATCAACATTTTACAATTTTTGTGATGCTTAGAGTCGCATGTTATGTAAAAAAAAAGTAAGGAAAAGTAAGGAAAATGTTAATATGCATTTTCATATTTGACAGATTTGATATATGATAAGCTAAATAAGGAATTTTGGGTACATATGGAATGGAAAATCACCATCAGTTATAAGAATAGAGATAATAAGCAAATATAAAAACCTACAAAATTAGGGACAAAAACTCATAAGAAGATTTTTTTTGATAAAAATTGCAAAGAAATCACACAATGTCATTTCATCTTCATCATTCTTGCTATCAAATCCATCAATCTCCTGATTATATATACATGTATTTTCTCATGAATGTAGAAAATAATAAAAAAAAAAAAAAAACGATATGCTAAATGAGATACATTATATGAGCACGTACCCTAAGATTCACGATTTCCTCATACTTGGCTGCATCCAGTTCACTCAAATGATAAGGGTGAAACAGTTTTGGTAGAGTGTGTTGTTGTATTGTGATGAGAAGGAAGAATGGAATAGGGAAGAGAATGCCAACGATAGGTATCCATGTCACACCAAAACACGTAAGGAAATAGACAATTTGGAAGATCGTGAACATGAAAATGGTTCTATATGGCACCGATTCAACAAAAGAAGCGTGAACCCTTTCAAGAACCCTGACAAAATTTGATGATGAAACATTGATATAATTAATAAGGATGATTTTCAGTGCAAGAATAAAATGTTAAATCTTAACTCACTTGTATATTCGACTATGGGGAACAAAAATAAATAAGATTCTTTCCCAAAACTGGTTTCCAGGAAGAGTGTCAATGGCTATGTAAGCAAAATAGCCCCATAAAACCGATGTGGGTATCAACGTTATTAAGGGCATGACACATATAGACACTGCTAAGAGAATAAATTGTAAAAAGTTGATGAATCTTTGTTCATTGATGCAATGCTATGGTCAAATAAATAGAGCCCAACTATCATAACTGCTGGGATGAAGGCAGCCAAGATATAAACTGGAGGAACCTTGCCCATGTCCTACAAGTCAATTATAAGAAATTAAAGATTAGGATGCAAGATTTTTCTCCAAAGTAAACAGAAATTTGCAAAAATATACCTTGATTACAGTCCAATGGTATAAAGATTCAAAATCCCATAAGAGTTGGATATAGAGACTTCTAGGAACACCAGATGGAGCTTTGCTTAGTACATAGAGAGTGATGTCCACACTACAACCATCAATGGAACCCCATAGTCTACTATGAAGCTTCTAAGACACCCTGTATTAAGTATTCACAAGAATAACTACATGTTAAGATGATATAGAATATAGCTAAGCCACCAGGTTGCAATAAACTTGATATACCTGTTCCATACAACCAGGATCTTGCTCTCCTACTTCTTAATGCAGTGAATAGAAGTCCAAATGAAAATATAATACCAAGCAATCCATTAGTGTAAAGCCACTGAAATTGATCTTTGGGTGAATTTGGTTCAACAGATTTGGGAGCTTTGAACTCACTCACCTGTTCCTAGTCAACAAAACCAGAATTAATCCAAAACAAACTTGAAATATTTTCTCAAATTATTATCATCGGAACCTTTTTTCTACATGGCTAAATACTTTGATGGCCTCTTGAATGAAAAGTACAGAAATTAACATCCCAAATGTTTCCCCTGCAATCCTTGTGAATCTACTGATAATAGCACAAGCATTAAAAATCACCAAAAGAAACAAGAGTAGGGTTGTCCATGTGTATACCCTACAAAAGTTGTATATACATTAACTAGTTTATAACCCGTGATAACCACGGTTATATAATTAATTAAACTTTCGTATTAAAAAATCAAAATTATTATACAGTTATTTTAGATAAATTATTACTTAAGAGATATTTTTTTAGTTATATAAAATTATAACCGTTGATTTAAATAAATAAATACGTGGAGTTATATCATTTTATAATTTATATTAATTTTATTTTATTTTTTAATCTAATGTTATTAATTTAATATAATTAAAGGGAGAAATTTTAAAATTCGAAATATAAAATGAAGAATCAATTATTAATTTAATAAAATTAGAGTGGTAAATTTAAAATTTGAAATTTGAAATGAATGATTAATAGGTTGACAAGTGGCATGATAAATGATATATAACATTAATGAGGGGTTCTAATTGCATGACACTTGTCAACATGAAATTAAACCTATTCTAATAATAGGGATTACTATCAACATATCCAAAATTGGAAAATGAAAGAATTTGTGAAAACAGGAGACATGGGGTGAAGGGATTTCTAAAAATATTACCATCCTGCCCAAGCTAAGAATAATTGTTAACCCGAATCTAGTATCCCTTTCGCAAAATTATACAAGTATGTATACATAATGATTGTAGGTTCTGCAAATCCAAGTATAAGAAGAGGTTGACCACCAAGAATCGATGGGAAGAGAGACACACAAGATGTGCTTCAGATTTATTTACAGATAGAACTTGAACACAAACCGAGTTGGATGAGGGTACACATCGTCGACAGGGTGAGGGAAGGGAGCATGTATACAACATAGATGTCTTCGTGTAGGGTTTTCCTGTGAATTGATCATCCTGTTGAGAGGGAAGAAGATTTAGGTAAGCACGTGAATGTTAATGGGGGAAGGACGGAGGGTGTTGATACAAAAAACGGATTCCGGAGCCTAAGAGAGAAATGAGAGACATGAGAAGTGGTTTGACGATGGCTGATGGTGTTTTGAGGAGATTAGGGTTTTTAAACACATACAAGGTAAGATCGTAAGTGAAAATAGAGACACGTGTTTGGTCGATGCTGATGATGTAAGAAAATCTAATCTAACGGTGTGAACCTATGAATCAAATACAATCAATGCCTCCGAATGTCTAAAATGATGCCATAAAGTTTATGTTTTAATAATAATTTTAGAGATTCTAATTTTAAAGCAGCGGTTTATATTTTATTTAATGATTTGTTGTTTAATATTTAGTAGAAAATTGAAAGATCCTCTCTTTCATAATTGAAACATTCTTACTCCAAAACATGCTACATGCATATTCACGGATAATAATTTACATTGATAATATTTGTTTACAAACGACCGGATACAAACCGACTATTACAAAGTGTTATATATTACATAACTACCCAAGAATCTATTATTCATATACATACATGAGTACAAAATTCAATAATTTCAAACTATTCAAAATCTTCTATCAATATATAATTATACCGGTTGCTTATTTCCTGCAATTGTTAAACACTGAGAAGGTAAGCAGTGATGCTTAGTAAGTTCAATAATAGATACAATATAACGTTATGCCATATATATACATCAATATGGCAGAAGCAAAGAGGAACAAAAAACACATATGTGAATCATGCGACAAGATTTCCATATCAATTGATGATTTGATTCGATGATATACAATCAACGAGACATACTAATTTTCCAACACTTGATATACATCAATAACGCTTTGGCCCAAATGGCACAGAAGACATATAATCTCTTAATTAAACATTTTGCTAGCTTTTAACCTTATCTTAGCATTCTATCAATGCCAAAGTGATGCTTATGTCGTACACTTCATGGACAAAGGCTACATACATGTACCCAAGTGATGCTTATGCTATACACTTCATGGTCTAAGGTATAGCTCATTATCTAACATTCTAATCTCCTGCCAATGCCATAAGGGTAGAATTCATTCTCTTATGAGACATGCTCTACACGGCCAGAGGCTACATACTAATACCACTGTAAATCTAAGTCCTTCCATTTTTCACATGGTTAAAGATATGGCTTTACTACCATAATAGCAAGAAATATGTAACGCCCCTGAACCTAGCAGGTATATTTCGAAACCTGCCTTCTTTTGATTATTATCTTTGATAGTCCTCGGAGAAATTATGTTGAGTTCCGGGGAGTATGGGGATAAAGTTGAAACTTTGGGCCAAGGAGGGAGTACGTTAAGCGTACATAAGAGTACGCTGGGTGGAGAGTGAGTTAGTACGCATCAGCTAAAAACCCTCATGTTCGAGGTTGAGACTATATAAACACCCTTATTGCTCATTCTTTTTCCTTACCTTAGCCTCCATACCTCAAAGAACACCCTAAAACCCTAGTTTGTGTGTGGAGAGTGAGTTAGTGTGCATATTTAGCTTTGGAGATTGGAGGTATTGCACCAAGAAGCTAGAGGAGGAAAGCAAGGCCTTAGATCTGAAGATGGGTTATACCATTAGAGCTCCATAAGGTAAAAAGATTGAAACTTTATGCTTAATTACTTTAGATCTAGACATTTTAGCTTTATAAAGGTCTTATGGTCCCTAGATTTCCCAAGATGATGCATGTGAAGTCCTAGACAAAACAAGTTGTCCTTTCAGACGTTTGGAGAGGCCCTAAGTGATAAAAATCGTTCCTTTATGGCCTTGAATCATTGTTATGACGTTTGTTACCCCATGTGAGTTTTATAACCATGCTATTGACCTAGGCTTCCTGTAACAACGTTCTTCAGGCGTTGGAATGTTATGACGTTTTTCACCCCATACCTGCTGGTCTAACTGTAGCTAACAGTTTAGGTGCGGGATTTTCAATCCCGTATAAATCTATACACAAGTATCACGCTCTCCCTACAATAGATTATGGTATATAATACATGACTTTAACGACATACTTGAAAGTACGTGAAGTTGAATGTCTCACAAAACTTAGTATCAAATAGATTTACGTATGAAAAGCCCATTTGTTCTTGTATATGAAAGTATTTCCTTGATATAGTACTTATAGTATGTCAAATCTCATGATTTCCTTGTAAACTATACCTATTATAGTTTTTCCAAAAGTGTATTTCGTTTGTATGGTAAACCCTAGTGTAATATCGACTTTGTACGTAAAGCATAACATTTGTAATAACATTATTGAACATTTATACTCAAAATATAAATAAAGTGTTTGATATTTATATAACAACATGTTTCATTTCAAAATGGACAAAGTGTTATTGTGATATGTTGCATGAGAACGTTTTCGTATGATATTTATAAATCACATATGATTGATTATATAACAAAAAGTATAGCAAAAAGGTTGATGTTTTTCACACGAGAATAATTGTGTGTTTACTTGTATTCCCCCCCCCCCCCCCCCCAAAGTATTTACAAAGCATTTGAAAACATAGTTGTAGGGCTATGAGCTCACTTGATAGATTGAAGAAGGTTAGTTGAAGAAGATGAGACTTAACCCAGGCAGTACTTCGACTGAAAAGAAGTCAATTTCTCAAAAATCTCAGGACTTCGGGACCTACGTCGTGTGCTAGGGTTGTTATCGAGGCTTCGGGGTGGTCTCAGGATGCTTAACACAGAGTAGAAGTGGGAGACAAGATAGAAATGAGTAGCCAAACTCGGAAGACTTCAATTCCTATATATGGGCTAAAAATCGAAGTTCACGTCGTGAGTTTTACCAATTCACGTCATGAGTTTGTCCCGATTCGCTCATGACATGCGTCATCTGTCAAATGGATTTGAAATGGTCAGTCAGACAGTTCATGACGTGAACTCTGACAAGTCTGACTCAGCGCCGAAACTCGTGCCTCGAACTTCAGAAGTTCATATCTTTCCCATAGGAGCTCCTTTTTCGATGTTCTTTATATCCAACCGTAGGTGAGATTATGCTTTACAACTCTCATTTAGACTTTGTTGGCTAATTTTGATTTTATTTTTAATATTATATTTTTAACAGGCCGTGATAGGAAAAGTCCGTTAAAAATCCATAACTTCTTCATCCGGTGTCCGTCTTCGTCAGACTTTTTACCGTTGTAATACCATTGATGAGATCTTCGATTCCCATTTAGGCCATGTTATCAAAAAGTCTCTCGATCATGATTTCGAGTTTTTAGTTGTCTACTGTTATGTCAAGAACTTCGAAAAATCATAATTTCCTTATATGAAGTTAGATTTGGGCGTTCTTTTTATGTATGTTTACGGTTTTGGGATATCTACAACATTCATTTAGGTGCTGTTTGATTTTCTGAAGCAAAAATTCATGAAGTCTGCGGACCACCTCTGCAACCCTCTGCAGTAGAAGAGGTGGACCAAACGGTTGCAGACTATAATAAGAAGCGTGTTTGTTTTTTTAACATCTGCATACTGCTGCAGATATTAAAAAATTAAAATAAACTAATTTTATAAACCGAAAATAGCTTTTTAATACGTAAAATTTAATAATGTATAACATTTCGGTAAAAATTAATGATATTTCAGTAAAAAAGAATGATATTTCAACAAAAAATAAAGATATTTTAGTAAAAAATAATGATATTTCATCAAGAAATTATCATTATTGAATATAAAAAAAATGAAAAATAAATTCAATAAGAATAAACGAAAAAAAAAACGGAAAAAAATGTGAAATAAAATTTTAATAACATATAATCAAAATTTCAGCAATAAAAAAAGAAGAAGAAGAGGTTGGAAGAGGTTAGATGAGGCAGTACAAGTGCTGCGCCAAACAGAGCCTGCGCAGAGGTTTTTGACTCAAAAGACTTCTAAAAAACAAACAGCTGCGAGATGAAAAGTGTTGCGCGTGTGCTGCGCCGCGCAACAGTAAGAGGTTTGAAGAGGTTTTTTCCAAAAAACAAACAGCACCTTAGACACCTAAGGTTGAAAAGTATTTTATTGAAATTTCTCGTTTTATGTTTAACAGTGTTTTACCGGTATTGTCGCGTATCTTCGATCGGTCATAACTTCTTCGTTATAACTCGGATTTTAGTGTTCTTTATACTTTTGGAAACCTAGTTATAATCTCTATCACTTTATTTGTCCCAATAGAGACTTTTGAACATTTTATTTTTGACGATTTTTACATTATATCAAAAGATATTACAATTCTTGACTTTTTAGGTCATTACATTGATTCGAAATATCGGGTTGTCACAACGATGCCAATTATTAAATCGAAAACATGTAAATAAATACAGACCATGTAAATAATATTTTATTAAATACATATAATCACATTTAATTATATGTATCTAATCATATATGATTTACGTAGACAATATTCATTTTTGCATTCTCGATTCACTAATTTTTTACGTGTATTTAATCAAATGTGATTATATGTATTTAATAACATATAAATCATATATGATTCGATACATATAATCACATGTGACTCAATACATATAATCACATGTGATTATTTACAAGAGAAAACCTAATGAATCAAAAACACAATAATAAATCTTTGTAGGTGGGGGTGATGTCGGCAGGGTGGTGGTGGGTGGGTGGGTGGTTGCAAGTGGTGGTGATTGTGATGGGTGGTGGTTTTGGTCGGTGGTGGGTGGGTGTGGGTAGTGGTGGTTATTCATTTTTGCTTTTGTGATTATATGAATCTAATCACATATGATTAAATACATATAATCACATGTGATTATAATAATCTAATCACATATAATTTATGTGGACAAATTCATTTTTGCTTTGTCGATTCAATAGTTTTTCTCATGTATTTTATCACATGAGATTATATGTATAATCGTATGTGATTAAGTACATTAGCACAACTATTGAATCGAGAAGGAAAAATGCATCTTGTCCACCTCAAATCATATATCTATTTTACCTTATAAAGCATATTTGGTGTAACATCCAAAATTTCAAACAAATTTAAACTTTTAAAAACATGTCAAGTTCATCAAAATATTTAAAATTTGTTTTCAAAACATTGTTTATCAGAGTCTTGTCCTTAAAAATAACATAATAGGAGGAGCTGTACGATCACGCCTTGGCCTTGCCGCGATCCCCTGATGTACCTGAAACAATGAACTTGTAACAGCCCGGAATTTC